ATCATCGCTGGGAGAACAAATGTAAGCGTCTCAATATTACCCTCATATATAATTTGCTCCGCATGGCTTTGTAAGTGAAAGGTGTTACTTTTCCGTGAGGCAGATTGGATGTTTGCGATCTTCGCAGCGTTTCAGCGGGCAGTACTGCCAGACTTATAGTCGTGAATGGTCACAACGACAATCTGAAAAATGTTGAAAACAAAAGCAGCATGCAAAATGTCATTTTGGTGATACTGGAACCCGAATTCGTCCACCTATCGTCCACCTATAGACGAAACGGACGGGTTTGAAGGCAATACGTCTTTCTGACAAGGTGATCGTTGAGGTCCGGATATGGTAAAAGACCCTACCCAATTTTTCCCTTTGTCGTTGTCCCCCCCCCCCCGCACCTCCCCGCCGGCTCATATTGTCTGCAGGTCCACCGTGGGGGCATAGACGGTCAGTAAGGAGCAGTGAGAGGTAAGCCTCGACGTCATTAAATCCAGACACCCTGATGTTTTCCTTTGACCAGGAATACTAATGGTGATGGTGGTTAGATGGGTTTGACGTTGGAATCCAGTTACCAGCATGCTTGATTATGGAAATGATGGAATGATTAGGAGTATCATTAGCGAAACCGCAGCCTAGCGAGTTCTGTTAGAGCAGGGCAGAGATTTTCAGGTTGCATTGCTCTAATAAATCCGGTGATGGTCTTAACATCAGCACTTTGTATCTAATAAGTGCTGACCTTTGCTTGTAATGTACCGCACTGCATTATGTTTTGTACTGCACCGCATAACCTGTCTTGTACTGCACAGTATTGATCGAAAGCGGGCCTGGATTATGAGGGTCCAGCGTCGCAGCGACCTCAAACCAATGCCGTTGTATGGAGGAGACAAGAGCAATCGTTTTGGCAACTGTTTGAGTCTGTTCAGTCTTGATGGCGCGCTGGAGTACAAACTATGAGCTGTGGGGTTGCTTTTTCCTGGGGCGGATTTGTAATAATCGATCACAGATGTGGTGCAGGCAGGGGAGATTAAATGGTGAGATCAACTCCTTGGTTTAGACGAAGATATGTCGTGGTAGTCAGTTGATGATGTCTCAACAATTAGGAGCATGAGTGATCAAGAGGAGCAGTCATTACATGAAGAAATTCTCAAATCGGGTGTTCGAAAACCAGATGGCACCTACTCTTAACCCGAAGACAAATATAACTCATACTTAAATATCTCTCTTTGATGCGATTATAAATGGGATGTCACCAGTAAACGATTGAACGTTTTGCCCGAACTGAATGCCAACTACAACGAATTAACATTATTTTAGGATTCCCCACTAGCCCAATGAATAATCCTCCTGATCATTATGGCCGCTCCATGTTAATGAACATCCGAGACCAAGGAAAAGAGTCATTTAAAGGTTCTAACGCTTACCTAGATATTGAGATATGGACGATAATAATTTGGTAAGAACTGTGTTTTGCTAACTGTAAACTTAGAACTCTGTTAGGAACTCTGTGTTGCCTTGGCCATTTTGCCTCAGCCAAACCTTTTTTGCTGTGTTGCCTGATACAAACAATGTAACGCACTAAAGCACTCGCGCAGACACATTCTCCATATTCCAATGGAAACGTGGGCAACCGCGTATTGACGCGTCGTTACAATGTCTTAAAATTCCTCCCCAACAACTTCAGGGACCGGACCGTGTGTTTTTAGGTAAGAGATATAAAGATACCGTTTGTCATTTCCTAATCGAAAGGCAGCGCTCAAAAGCGCAACAGTACTGCACATTACAATTGTGCGGTAATATGATCGTGCACCATCGTAGCAATAGACATTGAAACCACTGCTTTTTGATTGCCGATCTTACCTTAAATCTAATCTCTGATTCTACCACAAAACTATATAGGTTTTCGGATTCCGGCCGTGGCCAGTTCGTTCGAAATGCTTCTTTTGACAATCGCGAGGAAGATGAGGAGCTTGTAAAGCTGTGGTTGGTGGCACAAGCCAGCTGTCGCTTTATCTGTCTAAAGTCAACTGTGTCAGCTTTGATTCGGTGATACTCTATAACAAAGAAGAGCTGAAAGTCTGCCTCGCTCATATCGAGCGCATGTAGCCTTTCGTTAAGCACGCCATTCAACAAATGCAGCAATTTTCTACCTGCATTCTCTAAGAGCTTAAGACGCCTCTCGAGGAAGCATTTCCCCCCCCCCCCCCAAATTGCCTCCTCCTACGGACATGTCCTTATTGACGCTTATTGCAAATGTCAGCCATTAAAAGCAGTTTTAGACTACCCCCATTCTTCCCCCCTCCCCCGTTGTTTTCTGATCCGAGTCAGCGCCGCAAAACAGATCTTCCCGCCGCTAGCCCACCGTCCGCTAGTCCTCTCGCTGTCGGTTGACCCTCTGCTGGTCCTCCACCACCGGTCCTCCCGCCGTTGGTCCTCCCCGCCGTTGGTCTAACCACCACCGGTCCACCTTAAGCCTGACGGGGCGGAGGAGGTCGGCGACCGTTCAACAAATCACGGTTGCGTTCAACGTATCAAGTTAATTCAATTAACGCGGGTACCACAGGCAAGACATCGGTTATAAGGACTGCTATAGAGGCATAACGGAATTATCTCATCAAAAAGGCTGTCAATAACCTCACATCATCAATCCTCGCCATGACAGGGCCGTCCGATCGGGCCCTCCCCCCTCCCCATCCCTACCTCTGCAACGAAGAACTTTAAAGAACACCTCTCCAGTATGTCGTGTAATCGCCCCCAAATCTCTTAGAGGTCAATGGCTGTCCATTGCACGTGTTTCCACCCACAACAAAAGTTTCTCTAACAATTCTGGTTTCGGTGCAACAGCGGTTTCGATTGCGCTGCACGGCGATCTACGGCCTGCGCGGGCGGCGAGCGGCAACCAGCAACGCGGCAAAACGTCCGCGGCAAGCCGACAGTTGTTACATTAAAGCAGCCGTTCATATCATAAATCAGTGGTCCAAACACCTTAACCACACACTGCTGTACTCATCATTACACAACGAGCACGCCTGTGTGCTTTTTCTGTGTCAGGACATGGTCTCGTATTTACTAGCATTCCGGGCTGAGAAATTGGAAGTTGGTAAATATTTAACCTTTGGCCCGGCATATTCGGGTAAATCATCGACCCAGCAGCATACAACTTAATACCAATCGTAACATATCGCTGAGGCCGAGCCACTAATGTCTTCAGCTAGATTTATACTGCTCTATCAGTATTAGTTCTAAATGGAGAGGCATGGGTCGTTCCAACCCCACTTTAACAGTTCGCGTTATGAAAAACAGCGAATCAGCGGGATGGCTACGTCATTGCAGTCTAACAAAGGGATACTTATCCATTTGATGCATCCGACACGCGTCATAAGGTAAGATCATTTACAGGAAATCTCAAAAATACTCCGGCTTTAGCCCGCCAAAAATAGTGTCGCTGCTTTCCGGTCAACTGGCAAGGTATTCATTTCCGATTATTACTGGTTCTCAATTACCTTAGCGTGGATGCGCTGTTGCTGATGGCTATCTGACAGGATGCTAACATGACGCCGACCCTCAGAACAGCCCCCCCCCCCCCCCTCCCACTCCTCTAGCGCTGCCTGCTGAGACGGTGCACACGGGCGAAGTCAACCACTTTCCGATGCTCGTAATCTACCCTCTCCTCGACTTTCGGCTACCGGCGGCTATCGGCTACCGTCTTTGAACGCCATATGACGCCAGGTTAGGTTATCCTGACAACTTGAATCAGCGGGCCTCCTGTACGGGCAGGGCCGGTAATCCTCGCCGACGCTGCTGAGCTGGAGCATCGGGAACATCTGACCAGTCTGGGCCGGTCGGCTTTGGCCAAGTTGAGTTGCTTTCCCAATTGGAAGGTGGTAACGTATTACCTAGTTTACAACGTGCCTTGTTGTTGCTTATTTGCAAAGTGTGGCACAGCACATATAATTCCAACGTGCCAACCTTTTTCTCTGCGCATAAGGCTCAAAATGAGATTTCCAATGGCTGGCTCGTCATGCACAATTACATTGCCTCGCACTCAGAAATACAGCCACCTCTGCGCTTCCTGGCATCAACAACTGGATGTGGAAAAGGGGGAAGCATAACCGTCTGTTGCATCGTGTGAATTGTAATCACGTGTCGTATGTGTGTACTGATGTAACTTATTTATATAGTTGTTTATTTAGGATATAAGCATTCCACCGGCAAAAGCACCAATCACGAAAGCAATCTAGTTTTGAGACCAATGTTTAGTGTAAAGCATTGTCGTTATCGTAATGTATCACATGTTGTGCATGTGTCGCATGTAATGTGTTGGGATACGTAAAAGTTATTTGAAAAGGGCTCCGGCTATGAGACGCAGTCACAGCCGTTGTGAAACGGCGACAACCGCTGTGCCTGTCTTTTTAAGTACACAGAATGTCAAAAGTGAGAAAAGTATAAATGTGTCATGGTAAGACTGATTTTTACAAAACTGTTGCATTGCCGCTGGTGAGGATGTGACCATCATCCATCGTATAGTCAGCTGACTGTAATAGTTGCTTCAGCGGCCCAAGGCCACCAATATTGTTCATAGCCATGCGTGTCTTTAGTATTTGGCCTCACCGCCATGCAGTTTTTAGGTGAAAATGCCATAATGTACAAGGTGTGTGGTAAGATTTTCCAGATGATTACATGCAAGCTGCTTTAGGTGTGCTTTCTGAAAGCATTGATATCCTTTGATTTATCGTCGTTGTAAAACAGACTAGAATTATAGGTAATGTGCGCGACAAAAAATTCGGGGGATGTGGGGGAAGAGCCTGCTCATAGGAAAGCCGTCAGCCATGGTCACCTGGCCGTCGTGCCGAGTCTGGCCTTCGCGCTCTGTCCGGCCTTCGCCCGGGCTCCGATGCAGGAGCTGTTCGCCTTAAGACCGGAAATGTGTCGTGTAACACCGTCACCAATCTACCATGATATCAATCCAGTGTTTCCACTCGACCAGGACACCTGCACCTTCAAGTGTGAGGTTGTATTCGGGCGTATGCGAGCGAACGGGTGAAGAATGAGAGGAGGCGGCGGACGGCAGCGGACGGCCCCCTCAGCCGACCGTCGCGCCGGCGGCCGCCGAGCGCGCCACGCGGAACGCTACATCCTCGGGCGGGATCTTGGCCACCTTGCGCAGCTCGCGCGTCTGCGTGGCCGGGCACGCCATCTCTGTCCAGCTGACGGGCACCATCGGATGGCCAGCCTCGCTGTACGCCAGCGCCACGCCCAGCTCGTTCTCGGCCGTCGACAGCACGTAGGAGAGCGCGTCTCCCAGCGACACCACCTTGGCCAGGATCACGTCCCCTGCCGGAGACGGCGGCGACGCGTCAGGCGGCCGGTGGCGGCGGCGGCGGCCGGCTGATCGCTGCGGACAGGGACTATGCCGGGGGACTACGCCGATAGAGTTATCGGCGTAAGAGTTATCGCACACGCAATTAGTAGTGAAGCGAACTCTCAAGCCGGTGGCGGCGGGGACCCAGACACAGCTGATATGCGTCTAGAACAAGCACAAGAGATTCCCTACGTCCGTGACGTAACAGTTATCTATAAAACAACCGGAAGACTCCATGCCCGATCGCTGACACGAGACACCAGTCTGTGTGTGGCCGGTACGCTGTTGCCCCGGCGTCACACCCTGGTGTCAGCCGACAGGGCCACGCGACACGTCCCGGTCCCACTGACCTGGCCGGAAGCACTCGTATAGCTTGACCT